AGGATCCGACTGAGAAGCCCCAACCCCTGCTGGCACTCCCCTGAGAGCACCTCCATAAGCTTGCCCTAGCAGAGGAGAAGGTCAGAGGGGAAGGACAGAGAGGCAGCCTGCCAAGGACACAGCACCCTCTCTCCAGAGGCCCCTAGCAGAGAAACTCAAGCTCTGGATCTGAGGACACTCAACCCTACCCGGTACTCTCTTGGGATCAGCAAACATAGATCCTACTGCTAGGCTGCTTCTGGCAGAGAGATCTGGGCCCGGGATCTGGGATTGAGTACACTCACCCTAACTCTTTCCCGCGCCACCCAGGGACCAGTCAACATAACCCCTCCTGGCAGAGGGAAAGGACAAAGAGGCAGCACACAGGAAAGGTGGACACTGAGTCCTGCGGCCACAGTGTCACAGAGCTGACTGTTAGCCTACCCGTGCACTTCCGCAGCAGGACCAAAACAGAGAGTAGTGAGCAAGGGGAACCCCTGTGCATTCCAACTGGTCCTGCAAGAGAGTGAGTGAGCCTTCTAGGGAGAGATTGCCCTAGACCCAGGGCCTCTCCACAGAAGCAACCAGACGAGATCCCTGCCACCCACACCCCTAGTGTGGGCATCATAGGGATTCTTGGGATAGCGACCCCAACATTGAAGCCTCTGCCTTGTGGGTCCACCAGGGTAATCCAGGCAAACAATCCCTGGATCTCAGTCAGAACTGCGTAATAGTGGCTTGCAGGCCACTGCAATAGTCAGAGAATCCGTGCATGCACACTGCGCCCGCTAAAAGCGCACTCGAATAGCGCCAGCATCACATTCTTTACTTAGGCAAAACTGAAAACACAGTGCACACTCCCAAAGCAGTGAACCTCTCTCATCTTCCTGAAAAAACAGTCCAGAAAACAGAAAGAGAGGATCATAGCCCAAACTACAATCTCCAGGAACAACCAGTGAGGATTATAAATAACCAGATGGCTAGAGGCAGACATAAGAACACTCCTAACAAAAATCAGGACATAATGACCTCACCAGCAACCCCACAAAACAATGGACACTTCAATTCACTAGATATACAAGAAAACGACCTCAAAACTATGTTTCTCCAGCTATTAGAAGCCCATAGAGATGAAATGAACAAAGCCCTCAGAGAAATAACCAAAGAAATCGAGACTAACCAAGAGGAAACAAATCGTGCTCTCAGAGAAATGACCACGAAAATTGAGGCAAACAGAGAAGAAATGCACAAAGCTCTCAAAGAAATGTCCACACAAATGAAGGCAAATAAAGAAGAAATAAACAAAGCTCTCATAGAAATACAGGCAATTATACCCAAAGAAGTAGAGGCACAATTAGTGATACATAGAGAGGAAATGGACAAAAAAATAGAAGCTATCATTGAAAAGCAGGAGTCCACATTCAAACAGATGAAGGAAATGGTGCAAGACATGAAAACAGAATTAGAATCAATAAAGAAAACACAAATAGAGAAAAACCAGGAGCTGGAGAACATAGAGAAAAGATCAGGCACTACAAAGGTAAGCATCACCAACAGAATATAAGAGATGGAAGAAAGAATCTCAGGAGCCGAAGATACACCTGCAGAAATTGACATGTCTCTCAAAGAAAAAAATAAAATCAGAAAAGTTCCAAACACAAAACATCCAAGAAATCAAGGACACCATGAAAAGACAAAACCTAAGAATAATAGGAGTAGAAGAAAAAGAAGACATCAGGCTCAAAGGTCCGGAAAATATTTTCAAGAAAATTATAGAAGAAAATTTTCCCAACTTAAAGAAGGAGATGGCCATAAACATACAAGAGGCCTACAGAACACCAAGTAGACTAGACCAGAAAGAAATTCTTCACGTCACATCATAGTCAAAACACTGAACCTACAAAACAAAGAAAAAATTCTAAAAGCAGCAAGGAAAAAGGCCAAGTAACATATGAAGGTAGACCTATCAGAATCACACCAGATTTCTCAACAGAAACTATGAAAGCCAGAAGGGCCTGGACAGAAATCATACAGTCCTTAAGGGACCACAGATTCCAACCCAGACTACTATACCCAGCAAAACTTTCAATCAACATAGATGGAGAATTCAAAATATTCCAAGACAAAACCAAATTTAAACAATATCTACATAGTAACCCAGCTCTACAGAAGTTACTAGAAGGGAAACTCCAAACCAAAAAAAACAACTACATCGAAGGAAACAGAGGAAATAGATAACTACACAACAAAAAAACCAAAAGAAGACAAGCAATGAAACTCAGTGACACCACCAACACCACATCTAAAGTAAGTAACAATTGTTGGTCACTAGTTTCTATCAACATCAACGGACTCAACTCCCCAATTAAAAGACACAGACTAACAGAATGGTTGTGGAAACAGGATCCATCATTCTGTTGCATCCAAGAAACACACCTATGCAACAAAGATAAACACTACCTCAGAGTAAAGGGCTGGAAAAATGTCTTTCAAGCAAATGGTTCCAGAAAACAAGCGGGAGTAGCCATCCTAATATCTAATAAAATAGACTTTCAACCCAAGTTAATCAAAAAAGATAAGAACGGCCACTGTATTCTCATCAAAGGAAAAATCCACCAAGAGGACATCACAATTTTGAATATCTATGCCCAAATACAAGAGCACCTACATTCGTAAATGAAACAATATTAAAGCTTAAATCACACATTGATCCTAAAACCCTAATAGTGGGAGACTTCAACACTCCACTCTCACCAAGGGACAGATCAACTAGACAGAAAACAAATAGGGAAATAAAAACACTTACAGAGACCCTAAATCAAATGGACCTAATAGACGTCTACAGATCTTTTCATCCAAACTCAAAAGAGTATACCTTCTTTTCAGCACCGCATGGAACCTTCTCCAAAATAGAACATATAGTTGGTCATAAAGAAAGCCTCAACAGATAAAAGAAAGTTTGAAATAATCCCTTGTATTCTATCTGACCACCATGGACTTAAGCTGGACCTCAACAACAACAGAAATAACAAACAGCCTACACGCACATGGAAACTGAACAAACTGTTACTCAACGACAGCTGGGTTAAGGAAGAAATAAAGAAAGAAATTAAAGACTTCCTAGAATTCAATGAAAATGAAGGCACAACATACCCAAATTTATGGGACACATTGAAAGCAGTGCTCAGGGGAAAATTTATAGCACTAAGTGCCTGCAAGAAGAAATTCGTAACATCACATACAAACAACTTAATGGCCCAACTGAAAACCCTAGAAAAAAAAAAGAAGCAGATACACCCAAGAGGAGCAGAAGGCTGGAAATAATCAAACTCAGGGCTGAAATCAATCAATTAGAAACAAATAAAACTATTCAAAGAATCAATGAAACATAAAACTGGTTCTTTGAGAAAATCAACAAGATAGACAAACCCTTAGCCAAACTAACTAAAAAGCAGAGAGAATCTATCCAAATCAACAAAATCAGAGGTGAAAAGGGTGACATAACTACAGACACAGGAAATTCAAACAATCATTAGGTCATACTACAAAAGCCTATATGCCACAAAATTTGAAAATCTAAATGAAATGGACAATTTTCTTGATAGATTCCATCTTCCAACATTAAGTCAAGATCAGGTAGAAAGACTGAACAGCCCTATATCCCCCAAGGAAATTGAAGCAGTCATTCACAGTCTCCCCTCCAAAAAAAGCCCTGGGCCAGATGGTTTCAGCGTGGAATTCTACCAGACCTTCAAAGAAGTGCTCACACCAATTCTCCTCAAACTATTCCACAAAATAGAAACAGAAGGTACATTACCAAACTCATTCTATGAAGCAACAGTCACCCTGGTACCTAAACCACACAAAGACCCAACAAAAAAAGAGAACTTCAGACCTATCTCTCTTATGAACATTGACGCAAAAATACAATAAAATACTTGCAAACCGAATCCAAGAACACATCAAAGATATCATCCACCACGACCAAGTAGGCTTCATCCAGGCATGCAAGGGTGGTTCAACATACGGAAATCCATCAATGTAATCCACCACATAAACAAACTGAAGGAGAAAAACCACCTGATCATCTCCTTAGATGCTGAACAAGCATTTGACAAAGTCCAACAGCCATTCATGTTTAAAGTCTTGGAGAGATCAGGAATACAAGGCACATATCTAAACATAGTAAAGGCAATATACAGCAAGCCTATAGCCAACATCAAACTCAATGGAGAGAAACTTAAATCAATCCCACTGAAATCAGGGACAAGACAAGGCTGCCCACTCTCTCCCTACCTCTTCAAGATAGTACTTGAAGTCCTAGCCAGAGCAATAAGACAACTAAAGGAGATCAAGGGGATACAAATCGGAAAGGAAGAGGTCAAAGTGTCACTATTCCCAGATGATATGATAGTATATATGAGCGACCCCCAGAATTCAACCAGAGAACTCCTCCAGCTGATAAACACCTTCAGCAAAGTGGCAGGATACAAAATCAACTCAAAAAAATCAGAAGCCCTCCTGTATACCAAAGACAAAAGGGCCGAGAAAGAAATTAGGGAAACAACACCCTTCACAATAGCCACTAACCACATAAAGTACCTTGGGGTGACACTAACCAAGCAAGTGAAAGACCTGTTTGAGAAAAACTTCAAGTCTCTGAAGAAAGAAATTGAAGAAGTTCTCAGAAGATGGAAAGATCTCCCATGCTCATGGATTGGTAGGATTAACATTGTGAAAATGGCCATCCTGCCAAAAGCAATCTACAGACTCAATGCAATTCCCATCAAAATACCAACTCAATTCTCTGCAGACCTTGAAAAAAAAGATTCTCAACTTCATATGAAGAAACAAAAAACCCAGAATCTCCAAAACAATCCTGTACAACAACAGGTCATCTGGAGGTATCTCCATCCCCGATCTCAAGTTGTACTACAGAGCAATAGTAATAAAAACTGCATGGTATTGGCATAAAAACAGAAAGGAGGATCAATGGAACCACATAGAAGACCCAGAAATAAACCCACACACCTATGAATACTCGATTTTTGACAAAGAAGCCAAAACCATTCAATGGAAAAAAGACAGCATCTTCAACAAATGGTGCTGGCCCAACTGGATGTCGACATGCAGAAAAATGAAAATAGATCTATATTTATCACCCTGCACAAAACTAAAGTCCAAGTGGATCAAAGACCTCAACATAAAACCAAATACTCTAAATCTGTTAGAAGAAAAAAGTGGGGAAAAGCCTAGAACTCATTGGAACAGGAGACAACTTCCTGAACAGAACACCAACAGCACAGGCTCTAAGAGCAACAATCAATAAATGGGACCTCATGAAACTGAAAAGCTTCTGTAAAGCAAAGGACACTGTCATCAAAACAAAACGCCTGCCTACAGATTGGGAAAGAATCTTCACTAACCCTTTATCTGACAGAGGACTAATATCGAGTATATACAAAGAACTAAAGAAGCTGAAAAGCAGCAAACCAAGTAATCCAATTAAAAAAATGGGGAACAGAGCTAAACAGAGAATTCTTGACAGAGGAATATCGAATGGCAGAGAAACACTTAAAGAAATGCTCATCCTCATTAGCCATCAGGGAAATGCAAATCAAAACGACCCTGAGATATCACCTTACACCCATCAGAATGGCCAAGATGAAAAACTCAAGGGACAACACATGCTGGAGAGGTTGTGGAGAAAGGGGAACCCTCCTCCACTGCTGGTGGGAATGTAAACTGGTACAACCACTCTGGAAATCTATCTGGTGCTTTCTAATACAATTAGGAGTAGTGCTTCCTCAAGACCCAGCTATACCACTGCTAGGTATATACCCAAAGTTTGCTCAAGTACACAAAAGGGATATTTGCTCAACCATGTTTGTAGCAGCTTTATTTGTAATAGCCAGAACCTGGAAACAACCAGATGTCCATCAACGGAGGAATGGATACAGAAATTGTGGTATTTTTACACAATGGAATACTACTCAGCAATCAAAAAGGAGGAAATCATGAAATTTGCAGGCAAGTGGTGGGACCTAGAAAAGATCATCCTGAGTGAAATATCCCAGAAGGAGAAAGACAAACACGGTATATACTCACTTATATAGACCTATAAGATATGATACACATAATGAAATCTATACACCTAAAAAAGATAATCAAGAGAGCAGACATGGGGTAAGTTTATCAATCCTCGTTTTGAAAGACAGATGGGATGCGCATTGAATATATGACAGGAGTCTACTGAGCCCATTTGAAAGACTCTAACTAGCAGTGTTTTCAAAGCAAAGACTCATGACCAAACCTTTGGCAGAGTACAGGGAATCATAAGAAAGAAGGGAAGTTAGTCTGATGAGGAAAGGATAGGAGCTCCACAAGGACCAAACATATCTGGGCACAGGGTCTTTTCTGAGACTGACATGCAACCAAGGACCATGTATGAATGTAACCTAGAACCTCTGCTCAGATGTAGCCTGTGGTAGCTCAGTAACCAATTGGTTTCCCATAGTGAGGGGAACAAGGACTATTTCTAACAGGAACTCAAAGACAGGCTCTTTGGCCTCCCCACCCCCCAAGGGAGGAGCAGTCCTGTTAGGCCACAGAGGAGAGCTTTGCAGCCAGTCCTGAAGATACCTGATAAAACAGGATCAGATGAATGGGGAGGAAGTCCCCCCTATCAGTGGACTTGGCAAGGGGCACGGTGGAGATGAGGGAGGGAAGGAGGGAGGGACTGGGAGGGAATGAGGGATCGGGACACGGCTGGGATACAGAGTTAATAAAATGTAACTGATAAGAAAAAAATAAAATTAAAAAAAAAAGACACTCAGCAAGAGGCTTGCCCTAGGCAAACTCTCCTTTGCTTTTTGACAGTGTTTGCTCAGGTTGAAAGCTATTCCATTTCTTCTGTTGCAGGAAACAGAGTCTGATTTTGATAACTGTGCAGTCTGCATTGAAGGGTACAAACCCAACGACGTGGTCAGGATCCTGCCCTGCCGGTGAGTAGTGAGTCTCCCTGCTCTGCTGTGGAGGGGACAGAGAGAGTCCTCTGTGTTGGCATTGCAAATAAGTGAAACACTCCTTTCCCTGTAACCTTGTTCTGAAAAACATGCACCACAAAAAAAGTAGAAGTCTTTCTTGTCCCCTTGCATGAAAGGCAGACTTGACGACAGAGTGAATGCATGCTGTGTGCTCCAGGCAGCTTCTTGGATACCTCAGTAATGATCAGAATCACATCTGGTTTTTATAGGTGCTATTGCAACTGAAAAAACCAAACTCTTAAAAAGATGCTGGGAATGATCAGGACACACTCAGCAATCTGAACGAGGACAGCAGTAAGCAGGGACCCAAAAGCAAATCCTACTTCCCTTGACTTTTACCAACAGAGAGAGAAAAAGTGAAATTCCCACAGAATTCTCAAATCTGAAGGAACGTGCACTTAGGGAAAGTTCCTCCAGAGAATGCTCTAATCACTTTAACATTTCTCCCTAAGTGTAAGTCACTGCTACAGTGTCTGGCATTTTTCTTTGAATATCCTAATTAAATCAAGTAAGTTGGAGTTACGTAAGAACCATAGCCTTCATAGAAAATCTTTTTTTTTTTTTAGTTGCATCTAGGAAAGTATCCTAAAAATAAAAATGTAATTGCCTCAATGAAAGGTACTTCATGTAGAGAAAACGGCTTAAAAATTTTGAGTTTAAAAGCGTAGAAGAGTATAACACAAAGACACACACAGTCTATCGCTTTCCCCAAACAATACACGTTTTAAAAATGTTTATTAGAAATACAAGCAGAATAAAATAGCATGGGGGGGGATTGGTTTAACCAGTTAAACATCTGCCTTTTTTCCAACACCCCAATTTAATGAACAAGATCTGTTTTCAAAAATCATACGTACCATCTCACTAGCTCTGCAGCTCATACTGTATAAAATAATCTATTTATTGAAAGCTTTATTATAACTAAATTTTGTGGATAAACATGAAGTTTCTGGAGACTGGAAATTGCATAATCAGGCTTTGACTTCACATACCATGTTTCAGTGTCTACTTACTTAAAGAAGTTACATTTCCTTAACAGTATTTAAAATATTTCTTATTGATGCAGATCTCATTTACAGTATGGTTATTTGGAAATATTAATACAAAATTAGTATTTTACTGCTTACCATTAAAAAAGTAAAACCTTTTGGAAGCTCAACTGTATTCATCTTAGCCTTACCCTGGACTGCTCAATTTGGCTTCAGGTTTCTACTTTTTTATATGATTGTTTGTTTCCAAGCATACACATTGATCCTTCCAATATAACATTTGTGTTAATTATCTGAGAATTTCACATATACATACAGTGTACTTTAATCATATTTATCCCCCACACTTCCCCTCAGTCCTCCATGGTTTACCCCACTTCCCACCCTTCTCAACTTCATGTCCTCTGTTTTTATTTTCTTCATAACTCATCAAGAACAACTTATACTGCCCATATACTGGTGAGTGTGGGACCATTCACTGAGACACTGTTGACCTACTAAGGACCAAACCTTTAAAGAAAACTGACTTGCCTTTCCCCAGAAGGATCTGCTGTCCGTGGGTTCGCATTTAATGGTGGATGCTCCTGAGCCTCTGCTGTCCACGTGGAAGGCTGGCTGGCTTGACCTTGCACACTCCAGTGCAGGCAACCGCAGCTGTAATTCCTGAGTGCAGTGGTCCTGCCGTGTCCAGAAGACACTGTCACTCCTGTCTTTCAACCTTTTTTCCATGATGGTCCCTGAACCTTGGGAGGAGGGGGAAGGGGTCACACACTGCTTCTTTATTCTTCAATATATTTACTCTCTGTTGTCATTTTGAATTATAGACCCTGCTTTCAATGACAGAAACATCAAGCATTAACCATCACCAGTTATGTTTGATCTCACACTAGTCACAGACATACGCACTCTCTTAATAGCTCCTGTAGCTTTTGCCATGCTGGTTTTAAAGTCAAGGTACTTTTATGACTGTTGCTGGCTTCTTGCCCGCAGTGTGCATCAATGGATGTTATCAGTCAGATGCATTAGCATTTGCTTCTTTGCTCCATCATTCCCTCTGGAGTATTATTAAACCTTTGCTTCCATGAACACCACAGCCTCTCTTTCCCAGTACTTTCAGGCATTTTATCCATGGAACTGTTTACTCTTCTTGGAGTAAAAGCTGTTTTAAAAATTATCCTGGTGCATAGTATGTGTCTTCTTTAATACTACATTCTGTGGCCTTACAATCCTGAATACTGTATACATCTCTACTAGGGGCCTTTCTCATTATTCATTTACGCACTTGTACCATGACAGTTTCAAAACTGTTTTATTGTTTTCTCTCTCTGAGAATTTTAAACAAATTCTGATAAATATGGAAAGCCTTCCCTTCTCATCTGTCATTAAGGTAATTATCAAAGTGAAGTCATATACATTTACGCCGGCCTTTTCTTTCTCCTCTTTATTTCTTCATCCAACTCCTCCCTAAAACATGAACACAAGGCTTTATTGATGTGAGACGGGATCCGTGCACAGTGTGAGGGACAGACACACAGTGGCATGCACAGCCAGTTGGCAACAGGCAGCTCTAACTTTTGTGACTTGGATGTTATCCCAGTTCACCACGAAGGCATTTTCCAGGAAACGTGGGTTCCGCTGTGTCATGCACATGTGAAGCTGTGCACAGTGCTGTTTGGGGTAAGCGTGTGACTTGGACTGGAGATTGTGGTTATGATTCTTAGCCACAGAATGTATCTTCCTGAAGCGTGTTGATCTTTACTATCTTTCCTTGTCCAGAGAATGAGTAATGCTCTCTGATTCTTTCAACCTTGAGCCTCCCTACTTGTCTTTCAATGGTTATTCCTTTCAGCCCACTTAGCTGTCTGAGATTAAAGACTCAGTGTCTCAAGAAAAATGTTTATTCCTTAGGTGGATCAAAAGTCCATATTTCCCATATATAAAAGGCAAAACAGTATGTTTCTCTTGCCTGTGTCCCTGTAAAAATGTTTTCCTGTCTATAATTTATTGCCATTTGGTGAAGGGATTATTGTGTTTTCCTCTAATCTGGCAGTGTCCGCCACAGTTAGGGACAACTTCAAAAGCATCCTGGTAATAAGCAGGTTTTGGGATGAGCTTTGTAGTACATGAATAATTGCTTTGGAACAACACCTTATAGTAGGATCAATAGGATGTACCACACATGGTAAGTGGCATTATTGTGTGGGAAACAGGAATGTCATCGGATAATTAGGACACAGCATGATATGGGTATCCTAATGATGAATATCTACAAAAACTATGGGGTTAGTCCCAGGCATAGTGAATTTAAGAAAAGCTTTGTAATGAATAAATGTAAATAGGCGGAAAAAAATAAGACATCCCTTTGGTTAATTTTTCCTTTTTGTAAGATTTCTTAGCAAAAAGAAAAAAAGATTTATTTATTTTCATTGTGTGTGTGTGTGTGCCTTGCCTGAGTGTATGTCTGTGTACCACATTCATATAGTTCCCATAGAAGCCAGAAGAAGGTGTCAGATTCCTCAGAACTGGAGTTATTTACAGTTGTTAACCTCATGTGGGTGCTGGGAAATGAACCTGAGTCCTCTGCAAAAGCATCCAGAGCCTTTAACCAAGTCTCTTAATATTTTAAATCCAGGCTTGATTTACCTCAGATACTCTGATTATAGAAATGTTTTATAGGATAAAATATTTAAATATGTACATATCTCCCTCATGCAGGTAACCTCCACTGTCGTTTTCATGTTTCTTCCCTTTGCTTTCATATCCTCACTTTGCAAGGTTGAAATACTGTTGTCAACATCATTCAATACCCCATTCTTATCATCCTAAGAATTTTCCAGAAAGGGCACTAAGTTATTTGTGTCTTGTTTTAACCTTCCTTTGCACTCTGAAGCAGTAACCAGAAGTTCGTTGAGCTCTTGCTTGCATAAATTACCCCAAAAGCCTTGGGGTGCCATGAGTTTTGTAGAAAGAGACTTCACTTCAAAAGCCCATTATGGCCTGGCCAAATTTTTCCACCAAGGTAAAGCATGAATGCACCCCATTCTCCTTGAGCTTCTTTCTTAGTAATCAGGAGAAAAAAAAAAGAATCTTGACTGGCTTTGGTTTGTCTTTTTAATTTATTTATTCTTCCAGATCTAAAACAACACTGGCCCAGCTAGAGCGTGTGGACAAAGTTTCTTTTTCAATAGATAATGGTTTGTTTGGCATGTTCCTCTTTTCTTCTCTCCATTATAGAAATGTGCTCTGGCTTTGGTTTGCTGTATCAGTGTTTTAGGAAATAGGATGTTGGACACCCTATTGGGTGTTGGACTTTTTTGTGACTTAAAATTTGATGTGTAGTCAAAACTTTTTAACAGCATTAGTGCTCAAAGATACCACATGGTGATTTAAATACAAAATGTATTTAAATGTATTTTAAATGTGCAAAATCAAAACATGTAATCCCAACATTCCACAGGTAGATAGTTGTAGGAGGATCAGGGTTTCAAGACCATGAACCCATGCTGTGAGTTGGGTTACATAGACACTATCTCAAAACCACAATAAAAGAAAAGTAAAAGTTATGGGACAGAGGAAGTTCATAGGTATAAGTGGGATGATCAATTCCCTAGCTACCCCCAAAACTGAGCCTGAAAGAATCTGAAGGGGATATGCCTGGACACTTGAAATGAGATGGAGGGGTACTTGTGAAAAGTCAAAGCCCACATTTGATGTTCCAGTTTTAGCAGAATTTCTGGAAAGCTGTTGCTTACATGTCTACAATGGGCCAGGCACAGCGGCACATAACAATGATTGAGAGCTCATCAGCAGCATGGGAGAGTATTTCATTAGTACCAGCTGGAACCATGAAGTTGTGCTTTATAAAGCCTCTCTTTCTTCTGATAGTCAATATTATAACTTTAATCCCTGTTTTGATTTATTTATCTGAGATATTACTTTTTATTAACACAATTTTTGTTGTGTTGACTG